GCTCAGCCGGCCCGTAGCCCATCGTCTTGTAGTTGCTACTGCTAGTAAGTTTTAGTCTCTTGCTATAAGCTTCCGTAGCGGTGACTAGAATTGGCTCAGAAAAGTCTACCCTAGAGCGACCATAAGGCCCCTGCAAGTAACTTTACCTGAAAATGCTGTCGACGGTGACCTCGTAAGGTCTCCAATGACACCTCAGGATGACCCTGGGGCGACCCTGGAGGATGAGTAGGGCAGTGGCATCGCAGTCAGCGAGCCGGGCTGCTAGGTTGGAGAGGAGGCCCCACGCGCGCCTGCCGGACGCAGGGTAGGCAACCCAACCAGCAGCGGAGCGCGGCGGGCGTGCCGACCTCGCAGGGGCTCAGACCAAGCCGAGTTCAGGCGGTCAGGTGACGTGTCCTCGACCCGACAGCTGCTCGCTGCTCGTGTGCCGTGCGGTGCTAGGCACCCTAAAGGCCCTAAGGCCCGAACCAGAGATCGGCCAGGCCAGCCTAAGGTCCCGGAGGGAGGGTGACCTTATTTGACTGACTTTAAGACCTCTCGGCGGCGCGCCCAGTTCGTCGCTAGCAGGCACGCTCTTCCGCTAAGCGCAGTTGCCAGCTTCATTTTGCTGTGCCGGCCACTCCGTTCTGCAGGGGCAGATTACATCGGGGCTGCTGCTTGGCCTGGCGTATGGTCGCGCCTAACTTGTCACTCTTCCACTATCAAGCTTCCCGGTGGGCCTGCGCCCCTACAAAATTTGTTACTTGGACAAGAGGTGCGAAAGGTGTGACGCCGTGACTACACCCCACCCTTCTGCTTTGAAAAATAATAAGACAGTTTACGTAAACAGGCGCAACTTTCAGCTTGTACTATTTAAAACAAAATCATCCAAAACGGTTTAAAGTAAGGCACATCCGAGGACCGATTTCAATTCAGAAGGTGTCTTTGGAGGGCCGGAGAGGGGGGGGGGGATTTTTGTACATTTCCGGATTCATTTCTGTCGAAAAGGCAGCGCTCCAGCGCCCAAACTGTGAGAGATAAACCCGCAAACGGGGTCCTAAAAATAAAACGTTCGGGTGTTCGTGCCGTCGCGAAGCGTGCGGAGACTGCCCATTGATAGCGCAGAGAGCTGGACTAGTTTCCAAAGGGTGGCACGCTGAACTCGGCAATGAGTGGGAGCATGGGGTTCATGGTCCCTCCGACTCGACGACCAGGCAGCGACACGTCCGCTCCAGCTGTCTCCGCCCGGGTACGCCCTCGCCCCCAACGTCCCCGTCCCCTCGCCGCCGCCGCCGCAGCCCGCCGACGACGTGGAGCTCTCCGCGTCCCTCGCCTGCGCCCACACCAGGTGTCGGCACGAGCAGCGTCAGCGCCAGCGTGGCCTCATGCGCTGCGTGTGCCACCCAGGCTTCGCCAGGATGTTCCCCGACCAGGCGTGCGAGCGTGAGTATACTCAGGACGCCTGTTGGGTAGGCAATATCTGCCCGTGGCGCGCAGCCGTGCGCTGCGGCGGCCTACCCACCAGGCGCCCCGCTTACCCCAACCCTCTCCGACCCGCAGCGACCTACACCTACAGCATGCGGCTGCAGTCCAAATGTAATTGAAAAAGAGAAAGCGCAAAAGTGACTATTTAACATGGATAGAATAGGATTTATTTAAATCCAGACAGGTGGAGGCAGCAGAGCCAAGAATGGAGGATTCCACAGAAGCTAATCGAACTAGAACTCGGGTAGTGAGACAGCCTAGAAAATGTAACGTAATAGGGACTGAACAATGTGATATTTTTTAAATCTATTTTTATTATGCCTTGTTGGACTGTATAAAAGGAACCGTGATTAAAGCTCCAATGCAAGTTTTATTTGATATTGGAGCAAAGTTTCGTAAATTATAAAATCAATGAATACATATTAAGAACATTAGTGTAAGTGAATGGTCAGAAAATCACTGTATACATTGCCCATGTCATCATCGAACGTTAAGAGATGCGGAAAGGTAACTACATCGCCACACGTGGACTTGTCTACTTGACCTGCTCGTACAGAACAAGGTTGATGATGGAATGTACGCTCAGTTTCACGGCGTCGTCGAGCACGGGGGCCGTGGCGACGAGGTCGGGCCGCGACTCGAGCCACACAGCCATCTCGGTGGGCCGACGCTCTACCACAAACAGGTGCTCGCCCTCGGGAAGACGTGGGGCCATCTGCGGCTGACCGAAGCGGTCGCGGCCGCGGCCAGGCTGCTCATCGTGCTGCAAAGGAGACAGGCATTGGGGTTAGATTTTGTTCGCTGCGTTGGGAACATTGTTGGGGGGGGGGGGGGGAATCACTCCGGATAGAAGTGAATACGTCAGTACGTCAGTATTAGTTGCTTCGTGTCGAAAAAGTGTAGGGAAATCACAAAATATTTTGAACAGTGTGGGCCGGTCGTCATGTTCGTGAAGCAAATTCTTCCCTTCTTCTTTTTTCTAGAAAAATCGGTTTGTCGGATGGTTATACGAATCGAAATCAGAACTAATTGCTGCCATAAACGGGCCAAACCGAACATTCTCAAGTCATCGAGATTTCACACACAAATATTTTATCTCGGCGACCATTAAGCTAGTCTATTACCCGCTTTAGTACCAAAACTATTGCGACTATTGCCCGAGGGATGGGTACCTCCTCGTTCATCAGAAGTTTCAAGAACTCACGAACTGCAGAACAAAAACATCATGCTTACACTGCTGGCCGGATCACCGTTGGGCCCGAACGCCGAGAAGGACCACCCGTTCCCTGATATCCCGGTAACGGCGACAGTACTTCCGCCGTCCTCAGAGTCGGAGGCACGACTCATGCGGAACTTCGGTCCCTGGTCCGACCCGTACACAGTCACTCCGACGCGAACCTTCTTGCCGATGGGTAGTGTCATGCCCTGGCCGCACTCGCTCAGATCCTTCCCTGCACGCATAAGCAAAGAGGATAATAGCCACAAACAATGGCGCACATAAAATCTGAAAAGTGTCTCTTTCGTATAAATTGCATTTGCGTGCATATCTGAACAAGATGCAATAATTGCCCTGAATCTTGCAAGTGAGTAATTTGCAACCATTCTATTCACCGCCAAAAATTGTCCAGTATAAGGTGCCGATTGCGAGAATCAGAAATGCATTTCAGATTGGGCACAAAAAGCATCTTTTCATTGACAAATTTGTCGTTTACAGGAGTTCCTGTCGACTAACTGAGTGGGTTGGAGCCCCTTTTTAGACACCCTGGCCCTATCCTTGACCCCCCTCCCCCCGTTAATAAAAAAAAGTATTTTGTAGCGCAACTTCAAAACTATACAATCTATCTAAGAACCTAACTTTCACCTTCTAGTACCAATATTTCCAGTAAAGAAAAGAAAATTTGTCGCATGCAAGATTAAAAACATCACTTGTTTAAGCTATGCTCCCAAAGGCATCACTGATATATAAAGTGTGCAACTGACACACACTTTAAGGTGTTTAACACCGTGTAGCACACTTCTATGTGTGCAACACGAGTTTTGAATAGTTGGAAGTGTTCAACAGGTGTGTTGCACACTTTTGAATGTTCAACCTGACCGACGACCACTATAGCTCAACGCTCAAGTTGAACACCAAAAAGTGTGCAACACACCTGTTGAACACTTCGAAATATTCAAAACTCATGTTGCACACATAGAAGTGTGCCACACGGTGTTAAACACCTTAAAGTGTGTGTTAGTTGCACACTTTATATGTCAGTGATCTTATATGATAGACTTAACATAATTATTGTTTTCATCCAGACTTTTTCGCCCACAACGTGGCAACGCTGCGACTCACAGATTTTAGTCTTGAGATAAACAGAATTTTGAGAGTCCGTCAACAAAACTACTTACCACCACTCAAATCCTAAAAAGAGTTAGACAAAAGCAATAATTAAAAAAACAACAACAGAAAACAACTTAAACATGTCCCATTTAAGTTTATAGTATGAAAATTTGCGTTGTTATCAATGTGTGGGCGAAAAGGTCTGTACTATGTTCGTTTTTGTTTGTTGTTGGTTTTGCCCACCGCTATAAAAGACGGGAGAAACGGAGCCGACAAAAGTCGACACACGGAGGCGATCGCAACCGTCTAGAACTTTGACCCTAGCCACGCGGTCAGGCCGCTCCTCCAGCCAAACAGCCAGGTGCTCTGGTGTGCCGGCGTCAGCTGGCCGGCGCGCAACCATGAACGAATGCTGGCCCCCGGGAAACATCTCACTGGGATATGGACCGTCCCCGTCGTCAATTGGTAGACCGGAGCCGGCATCCTGGGGGCGAAAACAAAATCTCCACTTACACTCTTATTATTTTAATAAACGGCCTATTTAAACAATATAACACGTTTAACGTCTATAATTTTTTAACACGAGGTTTAATATCATTCTCGATATCATTCCGTTGTATACGCGTGTACACGCAACCAGTAGGAGATGACGTGAAGAGTAGCGTCCCCTCTCTCTCAACTTTTCAAATTACTCACAAGTAATATATAAATGAAGTTAGCAATACTAAAACTGAGATCTTGTGAGCAAAATAATGAATACGACACCAAGGTTTTACTTGTACTTTGCAGAATACCTACGTACCGGTATGTTGCCATTCCAATAAGTGTTCCAGCGGATCGTCTTGTTGCCGGGAGACATCCTCCATATTTGGATCGTGCTTTTCTTGTCGCCTGGAGGTGGGCTGCTCAAATCGAACGAGAGCCATGTGAACAAGCGCGTCCCCACAACGTTGACGCGCACCCGGAGCACCTCACCGAGAGCTAGTGGGTGGTCCTGGCCGCGGCCACCGACCGCTAGCTGACACGACGTGGACATGCCAGCGTCACCTGTGCAATGACGGAAAAAAAGATATTCTCTTATCAGCTTGAAGAGCCTCACGAGTGTTTATTTATACATAAAGACAAGCGACTGATACAATTGGCATTGTCTTGTTTGCAGCCGACTTCTAGGTAGGTGGGCACAGGCCCAGCGGTAGGTGCACACCACGCGCGTTGCAGCGTAGTGTAATAGTGCCTCGCGAGACGTGGTCTAGCGTACATCTGGCGTTCCTCGACTGACGATTGCCATACCGGCGTTAGGATAAGGTGCGTGGAAACACTCGACACTCGATCGAAGGCCACGACTAAACGCTTAGTCAAGATAGTGCCGTCGTGCCATGGCAACATCGCGGACACGGAACTGACTGCAAATCTTTAATCCTCACCCACCCACGCGGCTGCAAATGTCCCACGAGGACGAGGCTAAAGAAAATTGTTTTTCAAATTCTTTTGTATGGTTCCGTTTCATTACCATTTTCAAAGAAGAAGGGCTGGATTCTGAATTGAATTCAATCCATCCACTACTTTAGTAGTTTTAGCAGTAATAAAATAAATGAGGCGGGGAGAGTCCGAGCCTTCATGTGAGACTGTTAGTGTCTCTACAAGAACGTACCCACAGAAGTTTGCGGTAAGTTATATTTTGTGATTACCTACGATGTGCCGCATTATTGTTGGAAATTAACTTTTCATCGCCAAAAAAACATGAAATAAAAAGTGGAAGGGAAAAGGGAAGTGTTCACAAGAAAATTGAATAATATCACAAGTTTTAGCGATGGATGAATGTAATAACAGCTTCATTTACACACTAAAACCAGCGATGAAAAGTTTTAAAGAAAGTCGGTTAATCGACGGTATTGCAAAATTCCAGAAATTCTGACCAATTCATCACCAATCAAGATTCAGTTCATAGCATTTGTAGTCCTAATGTGATTCTAGGAAGTGAACTTACTTGGCAACTGTTTCGAGTCATTAGCGAAAACCTCCGTTAGCAGAAGGAAACAAAGAGCAACTCTCGCACTGAAAGGAGACCCCGTCAGTCTGAAACGAAACGGTACAGTAAAGCATTAACAACTTACATTACGCTCGTCCCTCCTTCAAGGCACGCACAGCGCATCAGCGCTTCTAGAGAAACCAAGTATCGTTGTGCGACTACTAGTGAAACCACGTATCTCCATTTTTAGGTGATTTTTGAAACCTATACCATTCGATAGAGAAATTTTCACTCTATTGAAATATGTAGCTCCTAAAAAAAATCGCCAAAAAATGAGTTACGTGGTTTCACCAGAGTCGCGCAAAGATACTTGGTGTCTCTAGAGGCGCTGCACCCTGCGCCGTGCTTGCTTTGAGTAAGGGACGAGCGATTAAATTTGCAAATAGAGTTATTTCTCTAGCAAACACTACTAATAATAGACACCACTTAAACCCTGTGCAGACATAAATATGCACGGTTCTTATGCATGATTGCATGATTTTGCCTGATATCGTGCATGCCCGGGTCAAAATCATCGACGACTTAAGGCCTTGTGCCTTAAGCTCTTTCCTACTTTTTCACTTTTCACATTGGTATTGTAAAGTTGCGCACCCTGCCGGGGCCGGGGAGTTCTGAATAAAAGCCCACTGCGTGCACACCGTTCCTTCGTAATTAGCCCACTCATTTTCATATTATTCACTAATCAATATGTTATCTGCTCCAGAACATGTTAATAAAACTAATTACGGCGAGACGATGAAATCAGTGCACGCAAACAGACAGAACATCAAATTCATTAAAAGAGACTGGAGGCAAGATGAATACCCGTGGCAAAAGGACCAAAGCAATTCCAAGGTGGGCCATAACAGCAGGGTGAAGGCCAAGATCAGGACAAGTGCTACAACTGTAAACAACCTATTCATTCATCACGGGGAATAACACCATATGGTGGTAAACGACGTGAAATGTTTCGATTCAATTGATTTTTTGAGATAAGGACAGGTTAAAGTTGGAGATGGATTTAAACTGTGCGAGGAGTCCCCCCTCTCCAAGTGGGTGTACGTACAATGAGTTACGCTAGTACTCGTAAGTATCCGCGAGTATTTGGGAGAATTGGCGAGTCTTCACGAGTATTTAGAGAGTATTTTTCAATTATTTCGCGAGTGGGAGCGAGTTTTTCGCGTGTTATCATGTGTATTGGCGAATATCTTGCGACTATTTTTCTCGTGTACAATGAGTTTTGTAGTGAGGGACCCCTTGAAACTGAGTGGATGTCATGGCAATTGCCGCTGCAAGTCCGTTGCAAAGACAACCGCTTCTAACTCAAGCTATGTATTTGGCATCACTTTTACTGCAATTTATCATCAATCCCTCAGTTGACTGTGAACAATGTCAATGTAGTATTCGACAAGAATGCAGCATCTGGCACTCTAAATGAAGCCAAACTGTTTACTGCAGAACAGGCGGGGAAGATGTCTGTCCTATAGGACAGAATGCCAAGAATGAAGACTGTGTGAATCAAGAGCAGTAGCCTTACCCACGGTATTGATCCAGAACTGGCACATAAGTAAGGCTGGAGGGGGAGGGGTCTTTTTCACTATGAATCCATACATACAAGATTCCTGCATTGTCAAGAGTGAAGAAAGAAGTGACACGGAAATGTGCTGTGTGTGCCGAGGGGGCGCTATCCTGGAAGTCCTACCCCATATAACAGCAAAACTAGAGCCTCACGCCCGCTGGAACTGGCTCACACTGATATGGGCAAGTTAAACCCACCTTCGAATAAATGTGGCACCTGCTATGTCATGTCATAGTATTCACTGATGACCATTCTCGATACACCGCAGTTATAACAATGGCAACTGAGGATGAAGATTCCAGAAAATCCGGAAGTCCGTCCAGAAAGTACGTCGAGCTCGGCGCCTGCGAGACTCAGGGTAGGCCACCCCGCATTTCACGCACGCATTGTATGCACGATGTTGCCTACCAACCGGGCGCCATGAGCGCTTTGACAGGTAACGGCGAATGACGGGCGTACGATCAGGATGATCCCTCATCCCTCATTGCCCGAGCTCTGCGCTTGGGGCGGGCCACCATCGACTCGACATTGGTGCTTGACGGGTTGGCCGAACCTCCACTTTGCAGTCGCGACTAGAACCACACATGTGGACTAATACTTCCAAAATGAGCTGTGGGTGAGATTTTGCTCCGACGAATCAACTTGCTTTACCCCTCCACGCCAGGAAAGTTGCGTGAACAAATCACGGTATTAATTTACTCCAACCCGTTTTGGAGGAGGAGGCATTGGGCTACACCCGTCAGCAGAACTTTACGAAATAAATAATTCGTTAAGAAAAAGTTGCCAGAACTCTTCGTGATTTCTTGGGAAACCACAACCTTTCTTTGTGATCAAAGGTAAAAACTAGTGGATTAACTTCAGAAAGTCTTACGATTGGTCTAAAACGTTTTCAAATAAACCAATTCATTAAAGCCGAATGCAAAAGAATGCGCGGGACAAGAAAACGGAAGTACAATGACCTCCGTTTTGTTGTTCCCCCGCATTCTTCATCTTTTCCACCGAAATGCTTCATTGCAATAACAAAATGCACCGTTTTTTGGACTACGAAGAAAGGTTGAGATTTAACAGTTTGGGAAATTACAACTTTGAACGGCACAAAGACAACCTTGAGAATTTTAGATCGGCATCTTAAGATATTGTAGACTTATCGAGCTGACTAAAATTCAAAACAAACAAATACCATACATGCATACACTGAAAAATTCTTGCAAAGAGTTTTGAAACATTGTAGAAGGAAGTTACTTTCTTTGCATTGCTATCTATTTTCTTCGTAAGTTTCCAAGGTTACGAACTAATTCTTTGCAGCATTACGAACAATTTTTCTTCGTAAGGTGCGAAGAATTAGTTCACAACGCAAAGTATTTCACACGGATTTTACATAAAGGAACTTTTTGGGTCGGTGTGCGACAGTCACACCACGACTAACCTCACGATCGACGCTGGTCGCATGGTCCCTAGATGCTAGTCACTTCTGAAACCAACTATGATGGCTACTGGGCTGACGACTGAGGCGAACTGGCCCGGGTGTGAAGGCGGGAAATCCCGCCCACCTCCAACCCTGCCCCGCACGTTCCTTCCCGGGCCCCACGCCCCCCCCCCCACTCCGGCTCACAGTCAAAAATTGTCGTACTGGATACGCCGGTTGTCGCCCTCTCGGAAGGCCCCTCTAAGGTAGGCAACCCACTGTGCAAAGAGTGCCCCTTTCCGCAAATTCACCACCTGGCCTAGTCCTTGACCGCCCAGCCTGCCTCTGACTGACACCGCGTTTCTGACTCTTTGGACGTAACCAACGCTAACACAAACACGAGGTCGAAGCATACTTGATCGTCAACAGCGTTTTCTTGAAGATGACTCATAGCTCGGCTCGGGCTCGGCTAGTCGTTGTACGGGTCAGACATTAAAATACAAACTGTACTGGAGCCAAATATTCTGTATAAGTTCGGGCAAGGAGGAAGTAACTTTTCAATTGGGTGCACAAATTTCAGGAATTAAATTTGTACTGAATGGTCTTAGACTTAATTTTTTGGACAAAATTTTACTTAATTGGATTAGATATTAAAACTTTACTTTTGCTAAATTTGTGAGAATTGGTTGGGATGTTTTTAATTAGTTATGAATTGCTTGACACCCTTTCTGGATTATGCAAAATTGAATTGGGCTCTAGAGTAACACAACACAAAGGCAGTTCAACACTCTGCCGAGCGTGCTGCCCTTGGCAGGCACAGATAACGGACACTGGCCTTCGCTCGCCGTCACTTGCCAACTCTACTAAAAGTTCTTCTCGTTAAGGCGTTCAGTGGCGTGGTAAACTCTACTGCCAAGTTCTGTTTTCTTACAAACTACAGTCATTGTCCCTAAATTCGGACGGTTTTTGAGGAAAAACGCCTGTGATATCTAGAATTTTTGGATTCTGAAAAATCGCTGGGGATTCTAGAATCCTCACGTCGAGACGCACCTACCACTCTCCGAAAATATTTTTTCGCGCTAACGGTATAGGGGTGAGGGCTGTTTGAATCGT